CTAGGCACGGTAGGCACGAGTGGGTGCAGGGGAGGCGCTGACTTCTGCGGGGCCAGGAACCATTCCCAGCGGGCGGCCTTCTGGAACACCACTCGTATTCCCGGGTACGGGACAGTAGATGAAGTCGCAATAACCTGACCGCATGACTGCCACATGCTCATCAATTGTTCTAAGTAGGAGATATTGTTAACATACCTAACTAACATCATTTCAGGCCATTGCTGGATGATACCTTACGTACAGAAACAGCAGGAAATGTTGCTGAAGGATATAACACGGATAGCCTGAAACAGGAAAAGAACAAAAAAAAAGAATAAGAAGCAGGCGACAAACTGACACTATAGTTCTTACTAGTTGTAATCAGTACATGTACTTATATGTGAAACTGACTGGTGTAGTTCGAGCTTCTGATTACTACTGCAGAACACGTCGATACAAATTGCAGATTAGAGATAATGCATCCCAAATATGTTCCCGAACCCAAATGTGTGCTCCCAAATATGAACTATTTATGATCGGTTTGGGAACGTATTTGGGCACTAATAAACTGTATAAAAAACATCGACGGTTAAAGTGTCCCAAATTGGGCAACATCTCAGCAGCTTTACAGCAACATAACTTCTTAAGCGCAACATTTCATAAACTTCTGGTTTGTCTTTAGCAGTAGGCGAGAACCAACCATTTGCAGAGACTCAAAAACAACAATTCACATGCTTGTCATTTGGGATTTTCATTTATGGAGCACAAGACATTCAGCAGCATGTACACGCTTCTTACTGAAGCCACTGCTGGGTAGTCAATATAAGGTTTGCTATTAATATTCCACCAGCGTATGTACGAGTCTACTCTCGGTACGTAATGCTCCAATCTATAGCATTAGTACTTGAAGTATTATCTAACTAAGACTTAGTATTAGCTAGATAACACTTCGAGTACTAGTGCTATAGATCTTATGAACCAAAGGTAAGGCACGGTTGCGAAGTCGACTGGTCGACCTGTCACCTTACTGATTGACGAGGTATGCACGACAAACACAACCAGTAATGTAAGTTGGTTACGTGAAAGTCGAACGCGCTGACCAACCAGCCAAGAGAAGCAAGCCCATATACCCCAAGTAACGCAGCAGTGTGTAGCACACTCGTGAAATGCCGAGGAAAGCACAAACTTCAACCATATACATTGTGTGATATCTTAAACCACTATCGCAGCAACCGCTCTGTCAGTCACACTTAAATTGTTCACCTGTCACACTTTCCGGACAAAATATTGGACAAAATTCAAAAACTACATGAGACAGGATTGGTGATAAATATATTGGAGCCCTCTGAGTGGATGAATTTAATTATCATTACCCGACCACTGTACTGCTGTGTGGTGCACATTGAACATACGGAAACCATAGCATGACCTTGCATTGCTATCCACTCTAAGCTGCCAAGCGAAGCGAAGGCTCATCAATAAAAATAATAGTTTTCTTAAGAAACGTTGCATGTATCTATTTCGTACGCTATCGCACTACAAATGTGCAGTGTGTGTTTGCTACGACCTTTGTGGCTATATATAGTAATGGTGTTATGTAGTTTGAGTCTGAAGTACTCGACAGCTACAGCTACAAGCTAAACGGAGTGCTATAACAAACTTTTGTTTTCAATTAGGACATATAATGTTTTCAAATGAGACTCATCGATTTTATACGTTCGACGGGTAAACCTGCATTACAGAGTGCCTTCATAAACTGGCATACACAAATGGCATATCTACAGCAGATATGTGAGGTTTAAAAAAGTTTGATTCAATTTGTATCCATTCAAATAGATTCAAATCGCTACTGGTTGCCTTCTTATTCTAGAGCATCATTTCACCAGCTACTATCGCGGTTCTCGACGTTCTACCACATTCGACTGGAGGACGCCCACCCAAGCTTCGATAACACCACCAGGCCCTCGGTCTCGTGCTGTGCTTCTACGTGGGATCCATGGAGGTAAGTACGCTTTGTATGCTGGCGTGCCTATGAGCACGCTCGTGAGAGCGCTCCGAACACCAGAAAAACCGTTAGCATACACGCTCAAGGGCTTCGCGACTGCCCGCATCTCCTGGCCTTCTCCTGCTCGTCAACTTAAGCTTGCCCGCCGAGTTGAG